AAAACACACACACCAACCAACAGTGGTTGAGCGTGGATCTGTGAACCAGGAGGTCAGGGTTTTATTCCCGGTCAGGGCACATGCCCAGATTGTGGGCTCAGTCCCTAATCGGGAGGGTGTAGGAGGGTGGTGGGCGTGCCCTGGTCTATTTATTTGCAAGCCAATAAATAGAAAAGGAGCACATTTGCTAAGATCCATAGAATGGCGGATCGCTTCTCGGCCTTTTGGCTAAGATCAAGTGTAGCATAGAATGGCGGAAGATTACAGATAGACCGAGTTAATGAAATGGCTCATGGTGGCTATTAGAGTTGCACATTTAAATATATATACACAGAGTGTACACACCATAGACCGAGAGATGATACCCTGGGATCTCTGTTCTTTCTCATCAAACCCTCAGGCTGACATGGTAAGAATTACATTTAAGAGATTCACATTATCCCAATTCTTGATCAGTGATGCCCAAAATTAAATGGTAATCTCTTGAGAGGGCGCGTTTGTTTGTAGCGCGCTTCTTACTCATTTCTGCTAAGATTGTGGTTGTTTAGGTGACCAGGGGCTTTCCAAAGATGAGCTTGCTTGCCCAAGCAAAAACACTTTACAGAAACGAAACGTGCTTTATGGGGTGCTGTGGTTGGAGTTTGACGCAAAAATATCAATGCTGGCACAGTGCAAGGATGAGGCAAGCCCGCCCTGACCACGCCTTCCTTTTTAACAGACTCTCAGGGGCCCTGGAGAAGGTGACCAGTGGGAAATGGTTAGGAGGCCTTAAGCTCCAGCAAGGGGAGGGGTGGCGAAGGCAAAGCAAACGGGAGGATTTGTTAATCCTCACGGGAGGATGTTTTTCTCCAATGATTTTTAGAGATGGGGCGGGGGAGATGCGAGAGCGCGACACGGATTGGTTTGCCTTCCGCACGGACCCCACTGGGAGCAGGGAGTAAACCTGCGACCCCCGGTGTTTTCCCCTTTGACGGGGAATCACACACCGCGAACCTCAGGTGCGCCGGCAGATGCGCTAACTACTGACCCACACTGGCCAGGGCTACTGATTTCCTTTTTTAGAGAAAGGGGCAGGGAAAAGACAGAACTATCGATGCGAGACAACATCGGCTGGCTGCCTCCTGCACACCCCTCCCCAGGGGTCGAGCCCGCAGCCCAGGGTTGTGCCCCGATCGGGAATCGAACCCGCGCCCTCTTGCTTCTCGGGACAAGGCTCAACCACGGGCTTGACAGTGACTTTCGGTATCACAACGGCTGAGGAGCTGGGGTCCCGGGGCGCCCCTTGCAGGGTTTGGTAAGGACGACCCCTTCCAGTCCTGACCAGTCCCCAGCGCGGCAACCCGCACGCCCGCCGCCGGCTGAGGACTCACGCATTGCGTCGCATTTGTGACGCAACGGGCGCGGCCCCCCCCACCGACGCACCGCGCAGTGTCTGTGACGCAATACGCACGCCCCGCCCAGGTGCCCGGCGCGCCGATTTACCCACAATTCCCACTGCGCGCGTGCGCGCGCGGCTCCCCAGTCCGCCGCCCGCACCCACCGCGCCGCTGAGTTCCCGCCGGAGCGGGCCGCCGCCGCCGCCGCCGCCGCCGCCGCCGGGGACATGCTGCCGAGACCGCGCAGCCGGGGCCGCCCCAGCTCCCAGCCCGACAGCAGGGACTGGGGCCGCGGCGGAGACAGCCGGGCGCCGAGGAGCGCTGCCGCCGAGGAGGCCCCGAGCACGTCCCGCGGCGGGGGCGGCTCGCAGGACCCCCGCCGCTCCTCGTCGCAGGGCGGCCGCCGGCCCGACGGCCCCCTGGCCGCGGGGCCCCGGTCCCAGAAGCAGCTGGAGCTGAAGGTGGCCGAGCTGGTGCAGTTCCTGCTGATCAAAGACCAGAAGAAGATCCCCATCAAGCGCACCGACATCGTGAAGCACGTCCTGGGCGACTACAAGGACATATTCCCCGACCTCCTGCGCCGCGCCGCCGAGCGCCTGCTGTACGTGTTCGGGTACCGGCTGGTGGAACTGGAGCCCAAGAGCAACACCTACATCCTCGTCAACAGCCTGGAGCCCGTGGAGGAGGACGCCGAGCTGCGGGGCGACCAGGGCACGCCCACCACCGGCCTGCTCATGATCGTCCTGGGGCTCATCTTCATGAAGGGCAACGCCGTGAAGGAGACGGAGGTCTGGGACTTCCTGCGTCGCCTCGGCGTGTACCCCGCCAAGAAGCACCTGATCTTCGGCGACCCGAAGAAGCTCATCACCGAGGACTTCGTGCGGCAGCGCTACCTGGAGTACCGGCGCATCCCGCACACGGACCCCGTGGACTATGAGTTGCAGTGGGGCCCGCGAACCCGCCTGGAAACCAGCAAGATGAAAGTCCTGAAGTTTGTGGCCAAAGTCCACAATCAGGACCCCAAGGACTGGCCGGCCCAGTACTGCGAGGCCCTGGCGGAGGAGGAGGACAGGGCCCGACCTCAGAGCAGCGCCCCGTCTCAGGCCAGCGGGGCGTCTCAGGGCAGCGCCCGGCCTCAGACCAGAGCCCCATCCCAGACCGGCGCCCCAGCCCCCTCCTCTTGAAGTCATAGGTTCCGGGGGGGACTCCTGGGGGCGAGGGTCCAAGGCACAGGCCTGAGAGGGGTGCCAGTGGGGCAGGGGACATATTTCTGTAAAGTTGAAAATGTGTGGTGTAGCTGTAGGATGTGTTTTGCAAACTTTTTTTGTTATTTTCCTATATAAAGTATTTGGTCCCAAGTTTTCGTTTATAAAAATATAAGGAGAGGATTTATTTTGTTTTAGTGTCTGTATTTTGTGTGTGTGTGTGGGGGGGGTGTGTATAAATTTGGCTAGCTTTATAAAACTAATTGGAAAACTTTGTACTGATTGGAACAAAGAACATCAGTCATTTGTATTGATGCCAAGTCAATATAAGTGGCTGTTATATGGCCTCCAAATTGCCCCCGTTTGTAAGGAAAAATAAAAGCCTTTATAAATTAAAAGTAAAATTGCCTATATCCTCTTTTTTTTTTTTTTTTTGCCTCAGCACAGCTATTTTATGTTTTCTGCGTATAAGAAAATTGTATTTTCTCGGCAACTTTTTTACATTCATGATGATTATTTAGCTCTGTAGCTAACCATTTAGCTTTTTTCCTACCCTCATTATAATAAATACTATATCTTTGAAGCAGTTAAGCATTGTGCATTTTTTAAATCGCGAGTCGAAGAACCCACATTTTTAAAAAACACAGTTTTTGCTACATATTACAGTTAGGAGTGTTTTGTAGAAGTTGCTTTACGTCCAGATGTGCAAGTGCAGATAGCATCATGATGTGAAATACATTTCTCCCACTGTGACAGGCCACAAAACAGTCAGTAGACCCTTCAGTGGTGAACGGCACCTGCTTGGGGAGCAGACACCCGGCTTCAGACTCAGGCTCCACCTGAGCACGTCCAGTTAGGCAGCTTTCCTAACGCGCTTACAGGTGGGCTGCCACGCCGACCGTGGTGGTAATGTGACACTTAGATGTGGAAGTATCTGTAAAGTTCTTGGCACCATGCCTGGGGTTTGGTACTTTGTTCCTTACAATTTTAAAAAATATGAGCCGTTAAAAAATTCTTTGTAAGGCTTCCTTTCATTATCTTGCTCGAAATCATTCTTAGAATTCGAGTCACTCGTTCAAAAGTTATGGCAATTTTCTAGTCTGACTGTGGTTTTATGAAAAAACATAATTCTTGGTACACCGTGAGTAGAGCCCGTATAAAATAGTAAAAGCAGGGGAATTAGATGTTAGATTGCCCCTGGCTGTTGTAGGGTAGGGAAAGGGGTATAGGTTCTGAGGCGGCCAAACTGACTGAATTATGGCTCATGTTATGTCAGCGTGGTGGTTTGGGGTAGGTTTTCAACTCTCTTGAGTCTCAATTTATCTGCAAAAAAGGGGGAAATAGTAACTATAATTATAGGTCTTTTTTTCCCCCCTAGTCCTCACCTGCAGCTATTTCCCCATTGATTTTTAGAGGGAGTGAAAGGGGGAGAGAGTGGGAGAAACATGTGGAATCGAACCCGGGACCCTTCACTCCACAGGCTGGTGTTCTATCCACTGAGCCACACCAGCCAGGGCTATCGTTTCTTGTGTGGGTTAAATGAACCTGAAGAAGAGAGCTCGTGGGCTCCACTGTCCCGCCATAGCTTCTGCAAAATGCTGCTTACAGACGCCCAGCAAGGAACTTCCAGGGGGTGGATAGGAGAATTGTTTTGGGGGGAAGAAACTGCACATCAATCATGAAATGGGGTAAACAGTTAAAAAAAAGAAAAAAGAAAAAAAAAGGGAACTGGATCAACACCTGGAAGTATCTACGAGAGTCTGGTGGGCAGGTGGTGGCATGGAGGAATGGGGTAGGCTGCTGGGTTTCCTTCTGTTGGAATTCGCATTGATTTCATCAGTGGAATATAGCTGGCCCTTGCAGATGTTCCTCCTGGTTTGCATCTTTATTTCCAGCAAAGCATCCTGCCGACTGGCCCAGTACCTTCCGGGGTGTGCTCATTCTGCATTTTCCTCCTCATGGTGAAAACGGTCATAACCCAGGGCATTGTCAGTTCTGAGGCACTTCCCCCCCCCTCCCCTTTTTCTCAGAAAGATGAAAACAGTTTACTGTCAGCGAGTTGCCAGGTGATTTCAGTTTTATTTTTATTATTATTATTATTTTTTAATATATTTTATTGATTTTTTTACAGAGAGAGATAGAGTTAGAAACATCGATGAGAGAGAATCATCGGCCAGCTGCCTCTTGCACGCCCCCTGCTGGGATGTGCCCGCAACCAAGGCACATGCCCTTGACTGGAAAGCTATTTTGAGACCATCTGTTGTATAGTATCTTCAAGGTTAGCCTCCTAAACGCTGTAGCAGGTATTTCCAATAAAGTCATGTCTGCTGTACAGGAAGCCGCGCTTGAAATTCTGAGAAACAAGTCTTCCTTTAAAGCCCGATCTCCAGGTGAGTCCCCAGCTCTGGGTCTCTTGCAGGTCACCTTCTTCATGCTGCTGTCCGCCGTGTGCGTGATGCTCAACTTGGCCGGCTCCATCCTCTCCTGCCAGAACGCCCAGCTCGTCCGCGCCCTGGGAGCCTGCCAGCTGGTGAGCGCGGACAGGCCCGCCGTCCCGAGGGGTGGCCGCAGGGGTCAGTGTGCGACAGCCGTCAGCTCCTGCCTGTCCTCGGGCCCTTCACAGCTGTCTAGATAAAGAGAGAGAAACATCCATGATGAGAGAGAGTCATGGACTGGCTGCCTCCTGCACGCCCCACACTGGGGATGGAGCCAGCGACCTGGGCAGGTGCCCTTGACCAGAATCGAACCTGATACCCTCGAGCCTGCAGGTTGGCGCTCTATCCACTGAGCCACACTGGCTAGAGCGTCCAACAACGTTTTCATACACTCCTGTTCCAATAGGCAGTGGGCTCTTTCCATATTTCGGTCATTGTAACTAGCGCCGCTATGAACGTGTGTGTCCCCTTTGGAGAGGGGTCTAGTTAGGTCCTTCGCCCGTTTTTTAAATTGGATCGTTTGTCTTCCTTTTGATAGGTAGTAGGGGTTTTTCATATATTTCTGGAAATTAACCTCTTATCCTTGGCAAATATATCCTCCCGAAAAGTGGCTCCCTTTTCATTCTTTAAAAAAAAAAAAAAAGAATTTACCATTTTTATGCTCTTGAGGTGCTGCATTTTAAAATGTATGTTAAAGAACACATCTCGAAGTGTTCTGTGAGGGTACCCAGCGCGTAACCCTGTGGGATCGGCCTCCTGGACTCGCTGTGATTCGTGGAGATTCTCCCCGCTGTGGCCACCGGGCTGCCCCTCTTCCCGGGGGCAGTGCCCGGGTCTGCAGACCGGACGGCCGTGTGCGCTCCCTCGGGTCTGGCCGCCACGGGGAAGGCGGTGGGAGCGTCCACGTGGAGCCTTGGGGCCACCTCCTCAGTCCACGGCTGTCGTCGGGTTTTTCCTGAGGCTCGTGGCTGTGTCTAGTGCCAGCACTCCAGCCTCAACATGGAAAGCGCCCAGTAACCAAGGCAACACCCATTATGTAGCCACAGCCCTCAGAAGAGCCCCACAGTAACCAGGGCAACCCTGACGGAGCTTGGTCCCGATGAAGCATAAATTACGAGAGGACGCAGGTTCGGAAGAGTGGGGCTTGGAAGATGCAGGAAACCGTGGCTGAGAGTCCGCAGCCGCCTCTGAGGCGTGGCTGTCATTGTCTGGTCTCCTTCGCAGCTCCCGGGATTGCCAACCGGTGTAGCTTTAAAAAAAAAAAAAAAAAAAAAAAGTTTTTGGCCTGGCCATGTGGCTCAGTGGTTGAGCGTTGACCTATGAACTGGGAGGTCACAGTTTGATTCCTGGTGGGGGCATGTGCCCAGGTTGCTGGCTCCATCCCCAGTGTGTGTATTGTATGTGTGTGTGGGGGGGTGGGGGGTAGCTCATCAGTGATTCCCTCTCCTCACTGATGCTTCTGCTCTCTCTCCCTCTCCCTTCTTCTCTGAGATCAATAAAAACATATTTAAAAAAAAAAATAACTCCACCCACCGCCTGGGCTGGTGTGTCTTAGTGTGCTGGGCACAGACCAGGTGCTTAGACCCCAGGCGTGTGCTGGTCCTTGTGTGTGTGTGTGTGTGTGTGCGTGTGTGTGTGTGTGTGAGTGTGGGCGCGCGGCTGCGGGGCGCCCGCCAGGCCAGGCCGCGAGCCCGTGGCGAGCTGTGCCCGTGTCTGTGCAGATCAAGTTTGACAGTGTGGAGGTGTGCATCTGCTGTGAGACGCAGCACCAGGCGGCCGGCTGCAGCAACCTCGGGGAGACGCTGAAGCTGAACCCGCTGAGGGAGGACTGCAACGCCGTGCGGCTGACCCTCAAGGTGACCTCGGGGGCCGGCCGCGCCCCGGCCGCGCACACGGCGGTCCCATCCCTGCGGGCGTGCTCAGTGGTCAGTTAGATCCAGAGGGACTCTCTCTCGGGGACTCGCGTCCGAGGGTCACACATTTCCACTGGGAGGTGCCTTTCTCCTCGTCCCGTTCTTAACCTCTTCCCTGCCCTGCCCTGGGCAGACGTGTGAAGCGGGTAGGAGTGGATGGAAGGCCTTGACGAATTGCCGACTCCAGCTTGCCCGCTGTCCCACCATCAAGGAACAGATGGCTGCTGGCTTTCCTTTAAAAAAAATTTTTTTTTTTTATTGATTTCAGAGAGAAAGGGGAAGAGAGAGAGAGAGAGAGAGAGAGAGACATCCATGATGAGAGAGAATCATGGATGGCTGCCTCCTGCACGCCCCCACACTGGGGATCCGGCCCCCAACCCAGGCCTGTGCCCTGACCGGGAATCGAACTGTAACCTCCTGGTTCATAGATCGATGCTCAACAATAAGCAGCACCAGCCAGGCAAGGCCAGTGCTGATTGTGAAAATAAATATCTCGGTACAAGGCGTCCGTGAGGCAGAGGCTGCTCAGGACCTGCCCGGGCTGCTGGGCGCTGACCTCCGCGTCTCCCCGCAGGACCTGCTGTTCAGCGTGTGCGCCCTCAACGTCCTCTCCACCATCGTGTGCGCCCTGGCCACTGCCATGTGCTGCATGCAGATGGTGTCCACCGACATCCTACACCTGGTGAGCACCCAGCCCCTCCTCCTCCAGACACCAATGGACAGACGTGGGAGAGGGACATTCTGGCTTCCAGCCAGAAGCCCGGGGGACAGCATGTCCTGACTGTCCTGTGGTGCCGTCGGCGTGTTTGCTGTTGGGTTTCTGATGGACCTTGCCCCTCGGGCTCAGAGGTGCCTTCTTCTCAGATAAGAAACTGCTCACCTGTGCTCTTCAGATTTAAAATATATATGTTTCCATTGATTTCAGAGAGAGAGAGGGAGAGAGAGAGGGGACTATCAGTGATGAGAGAGAATCATGGACGGGGCGCCTCCTGCAAACCCCCTGGGGATGGAGCCCACAACCCGGGCCTGTGCTCTGACCGGGAATTGTGACTTCCTGGTTCCTAGGTCGATGCTCGGCCATTGGACCACACCAGCCGGCTCTGGTCAGATGCTTTGCATAGTAGGACCCTTGCAGGCAGGGCTGTGTAACTAGGAGCGCTGTGCCCGATCTAAGCACCAGGAAGGGGTCAGGGGGGAGATGCAGCACCACTCCTGGCAGCCCAGCCCCACTCAGAGCCTCCAGCCTCTTCCCTCCCCAGCTCACCCCGGCCTGGGCAGCCACCACTGTGGCCGGCGCTCCTGGGACCCCCCGGGACCTTCATGAGGCCTGGGTTCAACAGATAAGTGTCCAGGTGGCAGGTGCTGCATACCTACCAGACAGACCAGGACGGGTGGGCCTCTGATGAGTGAGAAGCTGATTACAGCCCTGCGGGTGTGCTCGGTGGTTAGAGCATCGGCCCACACACCAAAGGGTGGTGGGTTCGTTCCTGTCCCGGTGAGTACGTGTGTGGGAGGCAACCAGTTGATTCGGCTCACCTTTTCCCTCCCTTCCTCTCTCTCTCTCTCTCTCAAAACCAATTTCAAAAATAAGTAAGTAGAATGTGTGTTTAGCCGGCAAGGCCCAACAGTTCACGTGATGTAAGTCCCAAACCAAAGCTCACCGTAGATATTATAGCTCCCCTAGACCCAGGGCACCAGCCGTCCCGTCACTGGGACCCTCTGTTTTCCAGTTCCTTCCGCACAGGACGCATTCCACCAGCCCGGCCTGCGTGACCCCGCATGGCACCATCCTCCACCAGACGCTGGACTTCGAGGAGTTCGTCCCTCCCCTGCCGCCTCCCCCCTACTACCCTCCCGAGTACTCCTGCACGCCCACGGCCGAGGCCCACCGGTGGGTGTGGCCGCCGAGGCCTCGGGGACCGGCTGACGCAGGGGCTGGGGGGCCGTCAGGCAGATCCGCGGAGAAGCTGGGGGGCGGGGGGCCATGAGAGCAGGTTGCTCAGGACAGAGCGAGAGGGTTCTCTGGGACACGGACCCAAACCCAGGAAACCGAGCCACTGGGACAGCCGCCATCGACAGGACATGGGAGAGTCAGCTGTGGGATCATTTAATTTTAATTTTTTTTAAATACTTCTTCTTTTTTTTTTTTAAATATATATTTTATTGATTTTTTACAGAGAGGAAGGGAGAGAGATTGAGAGTTAGAAATATCGATGAGAGAGAATCATCGATCAGCTGCCTGTTGCACACCCCCTACTGGGGATATGCCCGCAACCAAGGTACATGCCCTTGACCGGAATCAAACCCGGGACCTTTCAGTTCCCAAGCCGACGCTCTATCCATTGAGCCAAACCGGTTTCGGCATAAAATACTTCTTCAGAGAGAGAGGAAAAGAGAGGGAGAGATAGGATCATCAGCGATGAGAGAGAATCATGGATCAGCTGCCTCCTGCACGCCCCCTGCTGGGGGTCGAGCCCGCAACCCGGGCCTGTGCCCTTGACCCAGAATCCTAACTGTGGCCTCCTGGTTCCTAGGTGGACGCTCACGCCGGCCCGGCTTCCATTTTCATGGACAGAGGCAGGGGTATTGACAGGGGTGTTCTCTCTCCAGAAAACTAGGCTTTCACTTCACAGCACGATGAGTGCCCTGCCAGGGGAGCTGACAGGGAGCCGTCAGCCTAGGGGGCTTCTCCCCGGTGACAGGGTGTTCCCTCCTCAGGGGCCTCCACCTGGACTTGGCTCCCGCCCCGTTCGGCACCTTGTACCACGCGGCCATCAGCAGCCCCGGCCTGCTCTACCCCGCGGAGCTGCCCCCGCCCTATGAGGCCGTGGTGGGCCCGGCCTCGCCCCGCCAGGTGAGACCCTTCGGTGGGACGGGGCGGGGGGTCACTAGCCCCCGGTGGGGAGCAGGCGGCAGGCCCAGAGGGCAAAACCCAGCATTTGTGCCTCTTCCCTTCGGCCCCCCTCAGGCGTGAGCCTAACAAATGTACTTTTCTCCCTTTATATAAATTTATAAATTTCTATTGATTTTAGAGAGAAGGAGGGAGGGTGGGGGGAGAGAGAGAGAGAGAGAGAGGGAGAAACATCAATGATGAGAGAGAATCATGGATTGGCTGTCTCCTGCACGCCCCACACTGGGGATGGAGTCCAAACCCTGGCATGTATGTACCCTGACCGGGAATGGAACCCTGGACCCTTCAGTCCACAGGCTGATGCTCTATCCACTGAGCCAAACCGGCTAGGGCGCCTTTATATATCTTTAGAAATATTTTTTTTTTTTATTGATTCAGAGAGGAAGGGAGAGGGGGAGAGAGAGAGAGAAACATCAGGACTCACAGAGAAAGGGCTTTGCCTTGGGCCAGGGCGTCCTCCACCTCACTCCCCAGGACTTTTGGGGGGCGGGATATAACGCGGGCTCCGGTCGCCCTCCTGACCGGCCCTCGCTGCCTGTATCTGGCCATAGGTCCTGAGCACAGCCCAGCAGAGGGCCCAGACCAGCTCCCGGGACCCGGACGCCTCTGCCGGCTTCTGCGCCCAAGGTAACCTCACCGTCGGATTGGCAATGAGGTGTCTGTCCCTTTTTATTTAAATGTGTTTTCCCTGGTTTCAGAGAGCACCAGCCGCCCCGGCTCCCAGGTCGGCACTGCGCCGGGCCCCAGCCACCCGTCCCCCGATGGCCCCGAGGGGGCCTCGCCGCCAGCCCGGCACCCCGGCCTCGCCTCCCCCGGGGGCCCCCACCGGGGCTCACGGACACCTCCGGGCCCTGGCCGCCTGGCCCGCTCCACCAGCGACCCCACCGTGTGCTCGTCGGAGGCAGCAGGTACGGGTGCCCGCCCCCGCCTTGGCCCCGCATGTGTGCTCCCAGCGCCTCGGGCCCCTGGTCCAAGGCATCCAGGGAGTCCTGCCCGGGCCACGCTGACACGTGGTCGGATGTCGGGTCCCCAAGGGAGTGGACGGTCTGAGGGCCCAGCTGTGCCGCCAGCAGGCCCGCTGCTCTGCCCGGGACAGGAGGCGGGAAGTCTGGGGTGACGAGAGCCACCAGTGGGTCGGCCTCCGGGGCTGCACACCGGCTCGGGCCGAAGTGCCGAGCGCCAGGCTTTGACCGTGACCTTTCGGGCTCCACCCGGACTGGCCTGGGCTGTGCACCCCCCAGCGCCCCGGGATCTCGTTGCACAGATTCGGCCTCTGTCCTCCCCTCCTGGGCCTGCCCGCCACACCGGCCGAGCGCCGATTCTAACCGAGGGGACGGCCCGTGTCCCCGGCTGCTTGGCTTGTGCCGTCCACAGCCCCTCAGCCCGGGAGGCTGCAGCCTGCTGAGCTCAGAGCTGAGGGGCCGGAGGGACCAGGAAGCAGGGACATGACCGCTCGCCAGCCTGGGACCCAGAGTTCCCAGCAGAGCGTGGTCCCTGCGTGTGTCCGCTTTCCCGAGAGGCGTGGGCAGCGCCCTCGGTTCGGTTCGGTTCGGTTTGGTTTGGCTGGGGTTGTTCTCACGCGTCACCTTTCCCCTCGACTCTCAGTCTCCCGGTCTCGCTCTGCCGCGGCTGCCTGCGCCCACAGACACCAGCCATCCCCGCCCGGGCACCCCGACACCTGGGAACAACCGCAGCGGCGCCCGGAGCCCGAGGCCTCGCCGTCGGCTGCCAAACAGCGGCCTCACTCCGTTGTGGACAGCCAGGCCCACGCGGGCACCGGGGGCCTGGTGGCTAAGTTTCTGGGGCGCTCCAGCTGCCCCCTCTCCCCTGCAGAGCGCCCCACGGAAGGGGCCTTCAGCGCGGCCGCCGTGCTGGACCAGGTGTGAGCCGCCCCGTGCGGTGGACACGGACAGGCCGGCGGCAGGGCCGGCGGGAGCCCCTCTCCCAGGAGGAACCAGCCCATCGTATCCGGGACACACGTCCCGCCCAGCCCAGCCCAGCCGCACCGAGAGGGCCGTCCGTCTCGCGTCCGTGGGGACCCTGGTCTCGTCAGGCTCGGACTGGCCGGGGCATACGAAGCCGGGGGCCGGCGACTGTGGAGGAATGAAGACGCAGAGTATTTCCAGCCGAGGATTCTCCCGGTTTGGTTCCCGGACGTGGACAAAGAGGCCAGGAGGAGGGCTGCTTTCCCCCATCCCGGGCCCACTGTGCCCCCCCGGGCTAAAGGGGAGGACACGGGCTGTCAGCCATTTCTTTGCTACAAGGTCCATCTATTGGCACCGTAGGCCCAGCACCCCCTGTGGGGCCTGCGGGAGCAGCCAGGCAGCTGGCGCACCTCTGCAGCCACCAGCACCTGAACGGCCCTGCGCTGGACGAGGCCGAGAGCCCACGGGCCTCGGGACAGGCCCCCGCGGCTGCTCGGGGGGCGCCCCCCTCTGCTCCGTGGTCACGGCGGCTGACGTGAGAAGGGGAGCCGGGTGTCCAGCCCGGGAACAGGTCGGGGAAGGAGCCACGTGATGGTCAGCTGTGCACCGGGATCGACTGGCCGCTTCGTCCCACCATCGAGCAGAGGTTCCAGCCCCGCCTCCGTGGACACGGCAGGTGAGGGGCGAGCACATGTGCAGACTGCACGGGGGAAACCGCGAGGTCCTCTCCTCTAATGAAATGTGGGGTGGCTGACGTGGGTCCACAGGGCACGGTCAGTGCCATGGTGTGCGCACAGGCTCACCAGCCGTCTCAGATTTACTAACGGGAAGGGGCCGGGGAGGGGACATGCGGACGGAAGGGCTGCAGGCACCAAGCCGGGACATGGGGCGGCGTTCCCGCCTCACGAGCCCTCACCGGCGGGAAGCCCGTCGCAGTGGGTCAGTGCGAGCTGGTGGCCTGGCGTGCGGCCGGAAGCAGGTAAGTGCTCAGGCGTTCTAGGAGTTTCCAGTCCCTGTACGACCCTGGTGTCCCCCAGGCACTTCCTGTGGCGAGGAGCTTACACGTGGCCGTGAAGGGCTGTCGCCCCGAAGCCCCAACAAGTAGGACCACACGGGCTCAGGGTCCGTCTACGGCACCGTGCGCCCAGCACCCCAAGTCGCACCTTCTGTTAGGACCCCCCATCCCACCCCGGGCCTCTGGCAGCCACCACAGCGGGTTTGTGCATCCCACGGCGGAGGGAAAGCAGCTCAGTTCACTCGGCACCGCGTCCTCAGGTCACCCGTGCGCGGTGCTGCCCTGGCGCCCTTTCCCCCGGCTCGGGCCGAGGCATGCTCCTCACTGGGGCTCAGGTGGTTTTCCTGTGCCGGCCGCAGGAACGCCCTGTAGTACAGGGGGTGTCTCTGTGAACACAGGGGTTTGGGGGCGCAGGCCCAAGGGTGGGGTTGCTGGTCGTGGGGAGCTCTGTTCTCAGTTTCTTAGGAACCGCCAGGCCGCTTCCCCTGGTGGCTGCACCATCCTGTCCCCACCAGCACTGAGGGGTCCCCCGGCCCCCGGCCTCCCCCCCACGGGCTGCTGTCCGGTTGGGATGCCCCTCTGGCAGGGAGGGAGGGAGGGAGGGGGAGGCTGTCGGAGAGGGAACTGTCCTCCGCCCCTTTCTGACGGGGAGTTTGGCGTCGGAGGAGGCGTTTCTGGTTTGGAAACCAGCCCTTTGGCGGAGCTGCTGTTTGCCTCTGTCACTCCCTTGCTGGGCAGCTGTTCTGTGAGGGGTCCCACTCGCTCGTTTCTGCCTTTGCTTCCCTGGCCTCGGGGGTCAGGCTCGTCCGAGGCTCCCTGTGACTGGTCCCCGAGGTTGGTGCCCGTTTCCTTCTGTGGTCTGGGCCTTACGTGCAGGTCTTGGATCCGTGCTGTGTTAATGTGTGCGTATGTGGGGGACACTGTGACCCCGTTTCATTCGTTTGTGTGCGGTTTTCTCAGCTGAGGGCTCACAAGTCCCCCAGCCACGTTCCTGTGAGGGCTTTCCGCAGCCTCCCCCGTCCAGCCTCAGGAGGGGCCTGTACCGTCTCCGGGGTCACAGAGTCACGGCGTCCATGGGCCAGGCCCTGGGGGGCTGTCTGCAGCTGTGAGACCAGGGAGGGAGCACAGCCCCGCCCCCCCTGCCTGGGCGCAGCTCAGGCCCCTGTGGGGGGGATGGTGGGGGGAGAGGGGCTCCAGGCTGGAAGTGCTCTTGAATTCGGATGTTGTGTGTGTCATTTGGTGCCCCTTACCCCCCGCACCTCACTGGTAGCCGTGGGTTTCCCCCCCAGGTGCCGTTCAGCCGTCCCGGGCACCACGGGGAGGGTCCCTTCCCTCCAGCTCCCCCTGCAGGCTCTCCTCCTCCCCCCCAGGGTGTGGGCCCCCCCACGCCGGGTGACCCGGACTGTGGCCTCGGAGAGCAGCCTGGGAGAGCGGACAGGCTGCAGGAGACCCAGGTGAGGAGACGGGGGGGGGGGGGGGGGGGGGGGAGGTTCCGGCTCCGTTCCACACACTCCCTCGTACACCCCTCCCGGGGCCCCCAGGGGGCCTCTCACAGTCGGCAGCCTGTCTCCCCACTGGGAAGAGGGAGCCAGGTGGCCTGTCGCCATCGCTGCCCTGGCCGACACGGGCGGGGAGAGGCCAGAGGGACTCAGGCCAGGAGGGACGCGAGCGGCGCTGGGTCCCCATCCGGGGCCACGGGGCGGCGTGCAGAGGCGAGTGCAGCCTGGCGCCTCCGCTCACAAACAGCCACACGGGAGGACGACGCCGGTTTATTGGGTCAGCGAGCTCCTAAGTGGCGCATGCACACGCGGCACGCCGTGCCAGGGGATCCGAGCGCAGTGGGGAGCGGGTAAGGCTTCTTGTCACAGTGTATCCCCCGGACACGCCGTCGCCGGTGACCTGGGGGCAGGCGAGGCCGGGTCGCCTCCGCCCGCCGGACGGCTTGCCGGGAGGCGCCGGCCCCCGGGGGGGGCGGGCGAGGTTTCTGTGTGTTTGGGAAGCACGTGTGTGTGTGTGTGTGTGTGTGTGTGTGTGTGTGTGTGGACGGGGACTGTACAGGGCTGGTGCCCAGGCTGCCCGCCGCGTCCCGGGAGGAGCGTGGACGGTGAGGACGGGCCGGGCGGGGTCAGCCGGGGTTCCTAAGGACGGAGGATCTGACGTCGTGGCCTCGTCCTTCCTTTACCTCAGCGGCGGCTCCTCCTCGGAGCTCGTCCATCGTGTGCCCGGCGTCAGGTACAGGGCGTCCTGAGGGGCCTCCCTGCCGCCAGGAGCTCGCCGTCGCGGGGGCTGGCTGCGCTCGGAGGACGGACGCACAGCACAGGCACACACACCTGGCCCGCCGCGCGCGTGGCGGCTCTCGGAGGAAGACGGGCCTCGTCGGGAGCGTGGGGTCCGGCCTCGGCCCCTAGATGTACAGCGGGGTCTCCTGGCCCGTGAGGAGCCGGAACATGGCGGCCGGCATGGTCTTCATGTGGATCTGCCAGCGAGAGCGGGGCTGAGGCCTCCCCGGCCGGCGCTGCCCCTCAGGGACGGGCGGGACGGACGGGGACTCACCTCGCCGACCGAGTTGGACAGCGCCTGCACGATCTTCTCGTGGGCCGTGGCCACCACGCTCTGCCCGTTGATCTCGATGATGCGGTGCCCGACGCGCACGCCCCCTCGCTCGGCGATGCCGCCCCGCATGAGGCTGCAGATCTGAGCAGACGGCCATCAGCGCCGGTCCCGCCACGCCGCCCGGCGCGCCCGCCCCAGGACGGGAGAGGGCTCCACCCGCGGGCGCCGCCGATGGCTGTCGCCTCCGAGGGGTTACGTCTACTTAGGGGTCCTCGCACCTAAGGCAGGGGCCCCGCGGGGGCCCGCCCGTCACAGCTGGAGATGGTGTGGGAAGGGGAGGGGCCCGTTTAGAAAAAGGGTTAGGGACAGCGGGGTCGTCCCGGCCTGTCTGCCAGCGGCGCCCTGTGCTTTGGGCGAGCGAAGCCGACAATGGAGAAGGCACTTGAGCAAGGTGACTCCGTTGTCGGCAAACTGTTCCAGGCCCCCCCCCCGGCTGCCCGGCACCGTGTCCGTGGGCACGGCCGTCCCAGCGAGAGGAGCACCCGGCCGGCCTCCAGGGCCTCGGTGCACGCCTGCGGCCGTCACCGAGGCCGAGGGCCCTGCTGCAGACAGACCCCGACGTCGGGCCCAGAGGTGCGGCCGAGGCCGCGGACTCACAATGCCGTTCTGCACGCTGAAGCCCAGCTGGTACTTGAGGTCCGGCCGCTTGATGAGGACCGTGGTGACGGGCGGGCAGCTGACGATGTTGAGCTTCACGTGCGTCTGGTTCTTCAGGCCCTGCCGAGCGGGCGGGCCGGGTGAGCAGGCCGGGCAGGAGGCCTGTGTGCCTCGGGGGGGCAGAGGCGTCGCCTGCCGACCCGTGGGCATGCAGCCTGCGCCCTGCACTGCCTCTGCGCCGGGCAGAGCCAGATGCCAGGCTCGGTGGCACCGTGCACAGCCAGCCTCAGGCCGCGGGCACCACTGCCCGAGGCGTGTCCCTGTCTGTCTGTGAGGTCCCCGCAGGCGGACACTGCTGGGCCGGCTCCTGGGGTCAGGCTAATGGGGGGGGGGGGAGGCGTCCTGCGCCACCACCTCGGTGCGCGGGGACGGACCAGACAGGTCATGGCGGCGGGGCTGCGGTCCAGGGCCCCTGAGAGCCCCATCCGCCCGACCCCTGTGGGGCCTCCGGCTGCAAGGGGCAGGCCCCCTCTCTTACCCAGGACCTGCCTCCTGGTGACCAGGCAACCCTACAGCGGGGGCGGCCTGGGCTGCGGGACGGCCCCACGAGCGGGGGCACAGCCTCGGGGCGTCCCTGGACCCCACGCCCGGAGCACAGGGGGGCGGGCCGCGAGCCCAGGCCGAGCGCGTACCTTGATGATTCCCTGGCAGGTGGCGAGGGGCAGCCCCACCAGGCTGGTGCCGTCGATGGCCATGATCTGGTCCCCGATGCTCAGCTTCCCCGAGCGGGCGGCGGGGCCCCCGTTCATCATGTTGGCCAGGATCACGGTGGGCAGGATGGAGCCCCAGCCCGACTCCACCACCACCACGCCCAGGATCTCGCCCTTGTGCTTCTCCAGCTGCAGCTGCCGGGGGAGGAGGATGTATGGGGCCGCCGCCCGCACTCCACCCCGGCCTCCCAGCCGCCCGGGAGCAAAGACTCCGGACTCCACCCTGAGCCTGGTCTGCTTCTGCCTAAAAAGTGCTTTTCTTCTCGCTTCCCAGGCCTCTCCCCACAGCCTCCGTCCCCGCGCCCCGGGGCCCGGCTCCTGTCACGGAGCCTCACGTCCTCGCCTCTCGTCCTCCAGACTCCCCGGCAGGGCGCCCGGCAGCCAGGCCCCCTGGGTGCGCCTCCCGCGCTCCCAGCCCTCCCCGCCCAGCGCTCGGCCCTGGGGCAGGAGCCGGGGCACCGCGGCGGCGGCGGCGGGGGCGGCCTCACCTCCTTGCAGTTCTCGGAGTTGGAGAAGTGGACGAGGTCGTCGTTGTACATCTCCTGCGAGCTGACGAGGTCGCTGTACTCCTTCTGGCTCAGGTCCTCGGGGTTGATGCCGTTGGCGCGCAGGAACTCCTGGTAGGCCACGCTGAAGGCCTGGCCGATGGACTGCGCGATGAGCTGGGCCTGCGGGGAGGGCACCTCAGAGGCCGCCAGGAGGGCCGCGGCGCTGGGCACGGAGCCTGAGGGGAACGGGGACCCTCCGCGGCCGCCGCCTGGCGCCCTTTCTGCTGCTGGAACCCCCGCCGGACGGACCGGCAGGCACAGCGTCAATAAAGGGCAAAGCTGACCGGCTACCCGCTCACGACCACAGTGACCACTGCTTCCTCCCCGTCCCCCACCCCAAACGGGGACGTGAACCCTGGGCGTGTCCCCGCCTTTTCCCCTGGCTCAGAGCCTGCGGCCGAGGGTCCCAGGGACCCCAGGGCTGCCCCGGCCCGGACTCACCCCAGAGCCCAAGGAGACTGCAGCCTTCGAAAGCCAGGACCTGCCCACCCCGTGGGGTCTCCACCTGCTCCCTGCACCCCCACAGGACAGCTAGCCCCCAGGAGGCCACCTGCATCTGTGCTGCGGGCTCCCTCCCCTCTCCCCTGGCCCTCAGGAGCCGAGAGGGCAGCTGCTTGGGCCCAGCACCTTCATCTGAGCTGCCTGGGTACCGAGGCTCAAAGAGCCACTGGTGTCCCCGTGCCGGCTCAGGCTCTCCGGGCGCTCCTTTCTGGGGGCCTCACCGAGCGGCCACCTGGGTGGGCCCCCCTCTGGGTCCTGCCCTCACCCCCACCAAGGGAGTCCTCACTCCCAGGACAAGGGCACGCACAGCTCACTCACCTCCCTCCCTCAGGAGGACAACTCGGCCACGGCAGCTCCGACAAGCCCCTGCCCTCAGCCCCTGCCCGTACCCCCGGGGGCGGCTCCCGGGGGCCGAGCCACACAGGCGCCTCCCGCCCGGGGGGGGGGGGGGGAGGTGGAAGGCGGGTGCACGGAGGCCACGTCCGGTGTCTCCTCCTGGAGACGGGCGGCCACCCCGCTCCCCGGGAGGTCGGCGTGCGCAGGAAGCCTGGGACCGCCCCCACCGTCCCCCGCGGCGCCGGGCACTCACGTCCTCGGACTCGAACACGTGGCAGATCATCTTGTACTGCTTCTCGCCCTCGGGGGCGCCCGGCGTGGTCTCGATGCAGTCCTGCGAGGCCGCCCGGGGCGTGCGCCTCCGCGCCATGAGCACCACGATGTTGCCGATGTCCGCGATGTAGGAGATGGTGCGCAGCGCGTGGTCCATCATGGCTTCCTGCGGGGAGGGCGGCAGGGACGGCGCGCCAGTGTGGCTCAGTGGGCAGACACTGGCCTGCGGACTGAAGGGTCCCGGGTTCCATTCCTGGTCGGGGCACACGCCCAGGTTGTGGGCTCAGTTCCCGTGAGGGGGGGTTGAGCAGGAGGCAGCCGATCCATGATTCTCTCTCATCACTGGTGTTTCTATCATTCCCTCTCCCTTCCTCTCTGAAGTCAATAAAAATATGTTTAAAAAAAATAAGTGGGTTTTGTTTAAGGAAAAAAAACAAAAAAAAAAACAAAAAAACGCTCCACTTTGAGGTTCCCCAACACGCGTGATGCCAGGGCCAGACCCCTGTTGGCCGCCTCCCTGGGCGCGCCCCCTGGCAGCCAGCGCACCCACCTGCACAGGCTGTGACAGCCAACAGGGCCTCCCGCCCTGCCAAGTGCCCCCTGGGGGACAGAGCCCCCCAGTTCCCCTACTCGCTTCCTGCCCCCCCCCCATGGCGAGCCACAGCGTTAGATAACGGCGGGAGAGCAGTGGCTCACGGCCAGGGCCCCCTGCCTTATTCACCCCAGAGGACACTCTGGGAGCGGGTGCAGACTCTCATCCCGGGGAAGCCCGGCCCCTGGTCTGAGACGGCGCCCCGCAGAGCGCGTGCCTGGCCCCGGCCCGCCACGTGGAGGGGGGAGGAAGCCTTGAGGCCACGGAGGGAGCCCACGGCGCCTGGGCCGTGTCAGGGACACAGCGGCTCCCTGGCCCCAGGATGGGCCCCTCGGCCCCAGGAGGCTGCACACACAGGCCCTTTGTCCTCTCCCCACAAAAGAAAGCCGTTTCCCAGCCTCCCCTCCTGCCAGGACGCATCTCCTCCCAGCGGTGTGTCCCCCCCCACCCCCCGGCTGGGGGTGGGGTGTAAGCACAGGGGCCACGCTTCCGGGAGGGACACGGGAAGGGCCTGGTCAGCCTCTCGGAGTCAGAGACGTGGTCCCCCCACCTCCCAGCTCAGCAACAGCAGGGCGGCCAGCCCCTCCCGCCGACCGTCCCCGTCCGCTCCGCAGCCCCAGCCCTCCCGGCTGCTCCTCTCCAGCCCCGGCCGGCACTTCCCGTCTCTCGGTCGGACCAACTTCCCTCCGGTCCCCCTCGCCGGCACCTGGAACCCCGTGGCCGCCCACACCCAGACCCGTCGCCCCCAGACGCCCCGGGCAGCCAGACCCCAGCTCCCAGGCCTGCCCGGCCCGGCCTCCTGGCAGCGCCTGCGCCCGCCCCGCGCCCCCCGCGTCCCGCGCCCTCACCTGCGTGTCCGCATTGAGCACCTTGATCCTCTGGGTGGAGATGAAGAGGTCAACCTCCGTCAGCGTCTGCGCGTCCCCCTCGGAGTGCTGCGGGCGGCGGGCACCGTGAGGGCCGGAGCCTGGGCGGGGCCGCCTGTCCCCCCGGCCCAGGGGACGCCCGGGGCGGCCGGCCGCCCAGCTGGAGCCGCAGAGGGAGAGCTGGCGGAGCCCAGAGCGCGAGCTGCCCGGTGAGCTCTGCCGAGCGAGCCAGCGAGCGGGCGGCAGGGGGAGGCGGCGCCTCGGGGAGTGTCCCCCCCCCCCACCCCCATTCCGCCCCCACACGGCGGGGTCCCCGTCTCAGCCACACCTGCCCCGCGGGGCACGGCCGGCCCCGGGCTGTTTCTCAGGCTCAGGACCTAAGTATCCCCTGGACCTGGGGAGAAACCTCCAAAGATGCCTGGTGAAAGCGTCAGCGTTCTCTCCCGATGAAAACCTCACCGTCGTCCCCCCCCGCGGGCTGCGCCCCCTCTCGTCCAAACCCCGGACGGCCCTCGCCGTGACCTGGTCAGGCGGGGACGCTGTCACAGGCGCCCGTCCGTCACCTCCTGTGCCCGGACGCTGCCCCGGCTCCGTCTTCAGGCCCTGACGATCGGGAGGAGCTGCTCTCCCGTCTGTAAAACGGCCCCTTCCCATCCGGGTGCCTTTCAAGCTCCTGTCCTAGGATTTTTGCTAAAAAAAAAAACGAGGCTCCGTGGACAGAGCGCTGGCCTGTGGGCTGAGGGGTCCCAAGTTCGATCCCGGTCAGGACACAGGCCTGGGTTGCGGGCTCCATCCCCAGTTGGGGGAAGCAGGAGGCAGCTGATGGATGGTTCTCTCTCATCATGGATGCTTCTATCTCTCCCTCTCCCTCTCCCTCTCCCTCTCTCCGAAATCAATTTAAAAAAAAAAATGTTTTAAAGCGGCCCCAGGCGGGAGGGAGGCCTGACCCTCGCGCCGTAAGCTCCGGCGGTGCCGAGCGCAGCCCTGGCACCGGCCCAGGCCCTCCGTGGCCGGAGCTGAGCGAAGGGCAGGCACTTACTGAGCGGCCGGGTTTGCAGACAAAGAACAAAGCCTCTGCCGTCCGCACCGGTCACACCCCAGAGAGTCTGAGCGGAGGCGGCGGCTCTCGGCTCTCGGGGCGGGGGTGGGGGGGCGCGCGGGAACTTCTATTACCGGGCTGAGGAATTAAGCCTAATGAGTCTTTAACTATCGGAACGGTTTAATTAATTCTCCACGGGGGGCCCCGTCACGTGGCCGCTCCAATGTCCCCCTTAACACGCCTGTGTGAGGCCCGGCACCCCGACCTCAGACTGAAACGGGCGAGGCCGGGTTCGATGCTCCCCTCGGGGGCAGCAGAGGAAGAGCCATTTGTGTGTCCTGTGTGTCTCCGGTGGGACCCCCCCGCCCGCCCGCCGCCCCCCTGCTCAGCACACACAGCGCCCCCGCGGCTACCCACCGCCTTCTTCTTAATCTTAGCTGCTTTCTGCATCCTCTGCCGCGTGCGGGAGGGAGGGAGACAGAGAGGGGGGGGGGGCGGCAGCGTCACTTCCGTGTCGCGTCCACACCCCACGCTCGGCCTCCTGCCCAGGGGGCGAGGGGCCACCCCCTCCCTCAGGGGGCACAGGCCCAGGCAGCCACCTTGCAGGGCTGTGAGGCCACGAGGGGGATTGGACGGGCGGCCTGTTCCCCTCCCACGGGCAATGGTTCTCCCACCTCGGAGGAGCCCTGGCAGGAGCTGAACAGCCGCTCCCGTTCCCGTGGCCTCCGGGCCGTGGCCGGTGCCGGGCAGCCCCTCCCTCCAAGGCCAGTGTCCCCGCCCCTGGCACAGGGCAGGTCCTGCCCCAGGGGGGTAGGGGTGTGTGTGTGTGGGGGGGGGAGCTGCCCCCTGGCGGCCGGGCCCTGTGCCCGCCCTCCCCCTACCTTGACGCGGCTGACGGCCTCCTGGGCCTGCATCATGCGGACGTTCTTGGACGGGTTCCGCTCCGACAGCAGCTGGGTGGAGCCCAGGTAGTTGGCGGCGAAGATGATGCCGTCGATGAGGTCGTCGGGCTCGCAGGGCCCTGGAACTGAAGGGCCCCGTCAGCCCCCGGGGGTGCGGCCGCCGCCCCGTCCCCCTCCGGGACGGCCCGGGCAGGCCACGGCGGGCGCCCCGAGCCCCCGCTGTCTGCACCCCCAGGGGATTCAGTCGCTTACCAGCCACGAAGCTGGGGAAGGAGGCCGCCTTCTTTGTCTGCGGGGGAAGGACAGTGACAGGGTGAGCGGTGCCCGGGCCCAGGCTCCCGAGAGGCCGGCCCCCGGCCGGGCCCTGAGGCGGTGGCTCCTGGGCGGCGGGCACCCTGATGGCGGGAGGCGTGTCATGGACTCCCGAGGGAACGAACCCCGCTCCGCGTCGTCCTGGGAGCGGAAGGACGGGGACCCGCGGGGGAGCAGGCCCCTGCGGGAAGGGAGCCTGGAGGCCACAGGACCCTCGAGCCATGGCCGGGCAGCTGTGAGCCAGCGGCTCTGTGGCCGGCCTCCCTCCCTCCCTCCCTCCCTCCCGCCCTCCCTCCCCCCGGAGGCTCTGGGTGGCCGGGGACCCTGGGGAGGGGGGCATGGGCCTGCGGGCTCGGCCTCACCTCGGGGACGTTGTTGTTGTCCACGGGCCCGTTGAGATCAGACCGCTGCTGCTTCCGCGGCTCCAGACCGTTGCACACCTGGAGGCGGGAGGGAGGAGGAAGCCAGAGCTGCAGGCGCAGCTCGGCGCAGGCGTGCAAACAGCAAGTGTAGGTGGCACGTGTGCGGGCAAACGGCAGGTGTTTGTAGTGTGTGCGTATAAACGTGTGTGTGTAGTGTGAACACCGACAGCATAGGTGTGTGATGTGTGCATACATGAACTACACTTAGATGTAACATGTATACATACGAGCTGCACGTGTACACAGCATGTGTGCGTGTAAACTACGTGCGTGTGCGGTATACGCACGCACAAACTTCACGTGTGTGTGTAGCACGTGTGCATATAAACTGCGGCGTGCGGTTAGTGATGGCGGTTTGGTGTGCGGTTAGTGACATACATGGCAACCTTCAAGCTGACGGTAGCAAGAGTTAGGGCGTGGCCAGACGGTCAGGGTCAGAGGTGAGGAGGCGGGGCCCCGAGGGGATGGGTGCCCCTCAGAGTGGCTCGGAGCCGTCCACACGAGGACACGGCGCAGCAGCCACGTGCACACCGGTCCTCACGGCCCCGTGCCCTGGGGGGACGTCGGCTCCGGGAGTGACCTGCACGTTGTGGTTTGTCAGCTGCCGCTCTGACTAAGAGCCCACCCTCCTGGGAGCGTCCGGCTCGGGTGGAGTCTACCTGTCCCGGGGGAGGGAGCACCGGGGTGCAGAGCGAGAATCTCCCGGGACAGGATACCCAGGGGAGAGGCGACCGGGCCCGCCGCCGCCTGGTGCTGGGCCCGTGGCAAAGGGGAGGGGCGTCCCCTCTAGGGCAGTACAGGCCCTATAACTGTCCCTCTGAGTCTGCGCTTTCTCCAGCTTCCTCCCGACCACTCGTCACCATGACAACCACAGCTGCTACCCAGGAACCGGGGTTGTTTGCAAAGAGGCTGCCGGATGGGCTTGCGCTGCTTCTCAGGAGGTGCCATCTGCTCTCCAGTTCCCACCTCGGGGAGGGGGCTGGGCAGAGCGGGCGTGGTGGGCCCAGGGCTGCTGGAGCCTCTGACACGGCAGCCAGGCGCCTCTACAACAGGCTGAGCAGCATCCCCTGCACCAGGAGGTCAGGGTTCAATTCCCCATCATTGCACGTGCCTGGGGTGCGGGCTCAATGCCCAACAGGGGGCGTGCTGGGGGCAGCTGATCCATGACTCATCATGGATGTTTCTCTCTCTCCTTCTCTGGAATCAATAAAACACACACACACACACACACACGTTTAAAAGATATAAAGGTCAGAGGCTGGCCAGGGGTCCTCTGGTCCCTGCAGGCAGGGCCACGCCCTCCCAACACCATCAGCAACGTCAGCCGGGGCCCGCATCGGCCACCCCCAGCGCAAACGGCGCGTGCAACACAGGAAGTGCCAGGTGCCAATGGCACAGGGCCAGGACCAGCAGGGGACCCATCTCTGCGGTGGGCAGGTGTCTCTGGAGAGCACAGGTTGCCCATCAGCACTTCCCAATGCCCTTGAGGGGTGAGAGGTGAATGTGACAGGTGAGCGTGAGTGACAGGTGAGTGTGAGTGACAGGTGAGTGTGACAGGTGAGTGTGAGTGACAGGTGAGTGTGACAGGTGAGTGTGAGTGACAGGTGAGCGTGAGTGACAGGTGAGCGTGAGTGACAGGTGACAGGTGAGCGTGAGTGACAGGTGAGCGTGAGTGACAGGTGAGCGTGAGTGACAGGTGAGTGACAGGTGACAGGTGAGTGTGACAGGTGAGTGTGAGTGACAGGTGAGTGTGAGTGACAGGTGACAGGTGAGCGTGAGTGACAGGTGAGTGTGAGTGACAGGTGAGTGTGACAGGTGAGTGTGAGTGACAGGTGAGCGTGAGTGACAGGTGACAGGTGAGTGTGAGTGACAGGTGAGTGACAGGTGAGCGTGAGTGACAGGTGAGTGTGAGTGACAGGTGAGTGTGAGTGACAGGTGACAGGTGGGCGTGAGTGACAGGTGAGTGACAGCTGAATGCAGAAGGAAGCCCGTGATCTGAATGGACCATAGACCCTGGGGGTCCCACGTCCCGCCCGGGAAGCCGAGTCCTACCTGCTCGTGGGGCCACGTGGGCCTCTCCTCGGGGGTCCTGCCCTTGGCCTTGAGGCCTCTCGGGGGGTCTCCGGGGAGCCTGGCCTGCAGAGGGAGGCTGAGCGATGTGGGCCGGCCCCCGTGTCTGCCGGGGCCGCGGCCGGCCTCGCCGGGCGGGCCGGCCTCTGAGGCGCCCCCCAGCCCCGGCTCGGGCCCCCGCTCCGGCGCGTGCTCGGGGCCGGCCTCGCCGGCGCTGGCGATGCTGGTTGTGCTCAGGCTCATCTTGATCTCCGCCACGATCTGGTCGATGTCCTCCTCCTGGTCCTCGGGGCGGCAGGGGGCCGCGCCGACCGCCTGCCCGTTGGCCTCCGGGGGGCAGTAGTCCCGGTAGCTCTCCTCCTCCTCCTCCTCCTCCTCCTCCTCCTCCTGGCCCGGGGCCTCCAGCGCGGACGCCCCGTCCCCGGGGCCGGGGAGGGGGCCGCCGGGGCCCGCCGAGTCCGTCCAGTCCTCCAGGGCCTCCTGGCACTCGTCCGTCTCCCAGGCCTCGCCGCGGCGGGCCCCGCCCTGCAGGCAGCTGCCCTCCTCGGGGCAGTAGCGGATGTAGTAGGTGACGCCCTCCCCCTCGTCGTAGTCCTCCTCCTCCGACGTGTTGTTCACGTAGTCGGAGCTGGAGTCCCCGTCGGGGCTGTGGTCGGGGCTGTGGTCGGGGCAGCCCCGCTCGGGGGGCGGGGGGCTCTGGGGCCGCACCAGGCCGGGGGCCGCGTACCCCTCCGGGGGCAGCCCGGCGTCCGGGCCCCCGGGCTCCAGGCTGGGGGGCGCGGGGCCCGGCCGGGCGCGGTGGTCCGGCATGCCGCTCGCTGTGCTCTGGCGTGCGCGGTGGGCCATGGCGGGGCCTCACGCGGCCATCGTCCCCGGGAGGGCGCCGCTGCGGGCGGGAGGGAGAGAGCAGTCAGCCCCGGACGCACGTCTGTTCGCACGGCGTGCCCCCACCCCAGGCGGCACGGCGGTCAGATGGCACTGCGCTCGCTCGGGGACGCGGACGGAGACAGGAGCCCCGCCGGATCCGAACGCCCCCCACTGTCTCCTCGGGGCTCCGCGGGGCCCCCCCTGAGAACGCCAGCCGGCAGGCTCGTGTGGTTAATGAGGACGCGGCGCCGTTAATTAGACCTGGGCATCGTTAATGAAAAACTACATCCAGGGAGGACTCGCTTCCCTCAACTTAATCACACGAATGACATTGCTTAACGTATCTTCATCTTTTAGGAAAAGAGTGTCAGTGGGATTTTTTTCTCTCCCGACGGGCAGCTTGAAGGGGGGGGGGGAAGCTGGGTGTCAGAGTGGGAACCGGCCGTGTCTCTGGAAATGCACACGGCACATCTAGAAGCGAATCGTAACGGCCAGTCCCCGTCCCTTCTAGTCTTCCTCCACGGCAGGGGACGGCACCTGGGGAGCCGCTGAGTGCGAGGCGCACCCCCCCCCAGGACGTGGCTCGTTCTCACAGCCTCCCCAACCGGGAGCCCCCACGCCCGTCCCCCAAGGAGCCTCCCTCAGGCAAAGCCACCCCACGGGGGAACAAGACCTCGCTCCACGCGGGGCCCCGTCTCTTACCGGAAACGAGAGGCCTGGCGAGGCCGGGGAGACCCTCCGGGCGGTGAGATCTTTCTGGAACAAAACAGAAATAAAAGGAGGGAATGACTCTGACTTCGGAAACAACCCGGCGCTCGCAGTGCGCTCCTTCACGGGCAGAAACGTGAGCGAGCGAGCGAGCGGACGGCGCTGTCAGTGTGTGTGCTGTGATCGCTCCAAGGAGAGGGTCGGAAACGACCGGAAACGAAGTTAAAAAAAAAAAAAATGTCGCTTCGGCCCTCGATCGCTGCCTGAAGAACATAAACACAGGGGACGGCTTGTGTTCACTCAGGAAGGAGGGACGGCCGGCATTTAAATGAGGCGCCTCACGCCCCATGAATATGCATTTCCACACCACAACGCTGGACGCTGAGGATTCACAACAGAACCGTATAGGGGGACGCGTCCTCCGGGACAGGAGGGTGTGCCCGTGGGGGCGGGGGCAGGGTGGGTGGGGGGTGAGAGGAGAGGGGGAGGCAGGCCCCTCTCATCCCCCCCTGCCCAGATCCACAGCCCACCCTGCCCCTGGGACAGAGAGAAAAGAGGCTGTGGGCCTCAGCTGCTCTCGGAGAGCTTCACAAGCACAGAGCACGGGGAGGCCCTCAGGTGGAAGGGCTGGGAGGCCGGGGCCTGGGTGGGATTCCGAGCGGGTGGGGAAGCAGATGAGCAGGAAGCCTGGATATGCACAAGGAGACGGGGACTTATCTTTATATATACATACATATATATATATATTATTGATTTTTACAGAGAGGAAGGGAGAGGGATAGAAAGTTAGAAACGTCGATGAGAGAGAAACACCGATCAGCTGCCTCCTGCACGCCCCCTACTTGGGGATGTGCCCGCCACCAAGGTACATGCCCTTGGCCGGGATCGAACCTGGGACCCTTCAGTCCGCAGGCCGATGCTCTATCCGCTGAACCACACCGGTTTCGGAGGGACTTATCTGCCTTTATCAAAACATAGGTTTTCTGGTCTTTAAAGGAAAAGAAAGACAGAGAAACATCAACGTGAAGAGTGAAACATGGACGGGCTGCCTTCTGCATGCCCCCTACTGGGGATCGAGCCCACATCCCGGGCATGTGCCCGGACTGGGAACTGAACCCTAGCTTCCTGGTTCATAGGTCGATGGCACCGTGGCCTACAAGATGGCCATGTGCCCAGGAACCCAGCCTCTCCCTCTCCCTCCAGAAACTCGGAGCGGCCTGTGGGCTGGGCCGGGCTTCCCCGCCCTGGTGGAGCCTGCCCGAGGCCACCGGGGTTGCCCACACCTGGAGGGAGGGGCCAGCTTTTCCTCTGCCGGCCCTTAGCTTGTAGGCCTCATTTATGGCAGCCTGAGCACCCCCCGTGCCTTAGCTCCCCACCAAAGCCCGAGTCCTCAGCCAGCTTTGGAAGGACATCAGAGCGGTGCTTACATAACACACTCTTCCCCTGCAGAGCCAGGCCCGCATCGGGACCTGATTGAGAACGGGTTCTGGGGTGTTTATTTATAGACAGCATCGGGCCTGGGCTCCCGTCCACCACGACTCATTAGCATTCTTTCCCCGCCTGTCTGCTCCATCTCCCCGGCAGCAGGCTAACTGCAGGGCAAGGTCGCCACCGTGGGCCCAGCACCATTTTCCGCTTTTTCCAAAGAAAAGGATGCATTTCCTTTGCTCGGCTGCAGTGCCTCTCCCCACCCCCTCGCGCGCAGTGCCTAAAGCAGGGGCGTGTTGTTCTCATGACCTGGCCCTCTGCATGGACAGCCCACCTTGAAGACGGGCCATGGACACAGAGACCTGGACAGGCCCTGAGGGTCCGCTGTCGCCTCCCAGCTGGCTCCGAGTCCAGCACCCAGCCAGGCACGGCTGGGAGAGTCTGCTCGTCCGCAGCCGGATGAACACATGGAAGCACACAGGAGTGGGCGCTGCTGGGCTTTTCTCAGCCATGAGGGCCTGGCCGTCCCTCCTTCTGCCCAGCACAGGCCCCATCCTCTTTCTACCCCCGGAGGGAAGCAGCTGCCGTGTTGAGGAAATCAGCACCACGGAGAGCTCCCCAAGCTCTGACCAGATGTCTGGTCATCTGGTCAGCACCATGGAGAGCCCCCTGCGGGCCAGATTGTGCACCAAAAATCAGCACCACGGAGAGCTCCCTCGCATAGACCGGATGTTGTGGGACCCCTTGCTAGGCACTACTGAGGGGCCCTCCTGGACCAGGGTGCTCTGTCAGCACCACGGAGAGCCCCCCCTGGGCCACACCTGAGGCCTCCTGCCCACAGCCCTGTGAGGTCCTTTCCCCAGTGGCTCCCCAAGCCCCAGCCAAGCCTTCGAATGACGGTCTCCCTGGCGCTCATCTCGCCCCTGAGCTGCTCCCAGGCTCCTCTCTCACCATTTCTATGCCCAAGATCACAAACGTTGGCTGTTTTGCACCACTAAGTTTTGGCTGTAATTGGTTGCATAGAAATAGAGAACCTGTACGATAATAGTCTCTATCTTAAGCAGGTTGTGGCTACACATTCTTTTCTCTCTGTCTCTTACCTTTTGGTGTGGTGCATATTTTATGAGAATTTAACCCGAAAGCTTGTGTCAGGTTAACACTCCGGTTTGCAGTCCCAAGTGGCAGTTAAGAACTTTTAGCCATTTCCTTCTGGGTGTTGGTCTTTTCCTCTTAATTTATAAAAAAAATATATATTTTTTATTGATTTCAGAGAGGAAGAGATAGAAACATCAATGAAAGAAAATCATGGATCAGCTACTCCCTGCTGGGCATCAAGCCTGAAACCTGGGCCTGTGCCCGACAGGGAATCGAACCAGTGACCTCCTGGTTCATGGGCTGTGGCTCAGCTACTGAGCCACGCCGGCCAGGCCATTTTCATTTTTAACTCTTGCATTTTAAGGAAATGAGCTTTGTCTGTCATTCTAGCTGCTCTTACTAGTATTGTTCCTGGTTTATCATTTGGTCTTTCACACTTCTTACCGGGTCCCCCTCATGTCCCTCTTAACGGGAAGGTGTTATTCCCCCTAATGGAACTGAACTCACCAGTCTTTTCTTACATTGCTTTGCGTTTGGGATCATAACTTCCCACTAGAGACCATAAAAGAACCCATTTGCATTCTCTCCCAGTACTTGTGATCGCTACTAGCTATCAAGAGCCCTTTGAAATCTAGGCTGGGAGATGATCAATGATACCAATTAAGCTTTTATCTTAATCCAAGTGGCTGCTGTGAAGTGATGGAAATACGTGTTGGGCCCTAACCGGTTTGGCTCAGTGGATAGAGCATCGGCCTGTAGACTGAAAGGTACCAGGTTCGATTCCGGTCAAGGGCATGTATGTACCTTGGTTGCAGGCACATCCCCAGTAGGGGGCATGCAGGAGGCAGCTGATGGATGTTTGTCTCTCATTGATGTTTCTAAATCTCCCTCTCCCTTCCTCTCTGTAAAAAAAAAAAAAAACACACAATAAAATATATATCTGAAAAGGAAGAAAGTACATGTTGGTCTCTGCCCAGTGCCCGGCACAGAATGCCTAAAACCCGTACAACGTCCCAGGGGTGAGAGGACTTGGGGCATCTTGGCTCTGGTGTCGGGTCTTCAGAGCTCTTGAAACCCTCGTCATTTCTCGTGTGCCCCACTGAGGGGATTCTGTCTGGGCTCCAGGGTGGGGACTGGGTCACCAGGAAGTGCAAGGCATGTTCAGAAGCTTGGAATTTTCTGTTGACCTATGGAACCGGGAGGTCACGGTTCAATTCCTGGTCAGGGCACACGCCCGGGTTTCCAGGCTCGATCCCCAGCAGGGAGGTGTGTAGGAGGCAGCTGATTTGTCATTCTCTCTCATCACTGATGTTTCTTTCTCTCTCCCTTCCTCTTTGAAATCAACAAAACTTAAAAAAAAAAAAAAAAAAAAAGAGGTGACCACTGGATCGGAGGTCCTGGCAGTACGTAGGGAGCTGAATGGTGGACGTGTCAGCAGAGGGGGCAGAAGTGTGACTGAGCAGGTGGAAGAGAGGACATGAGGGGAGGGACTGGAGGAAGCCAGTAGGGACAGGATTTGCCCAGCAAACAGGGCAAAAAAAATGATGATGATGATGAAAGAAAATAGGAGAATAGCAAAGGAGATGGGGGTAGGGACTTGCTTCTCTTTTCTCAGATAGAAAGGACAGCGTGCCCGTGACTGAGCAGGAAATGAGAGCAGGACTCGGTGCTGGGGCCGAGAGCCGTGCCAGGGGCATGTGGTGCTGAATGGAGGAGGCAGTCTCTGAGAGGAGGCGTGGCTTCCTTGC